GAACGACTTACGACTTGTTGAGCGACAACGAAAAAATTTAAATGTTGAAGTGGCGCTCAACCTACCTCGTCTTTATAAGGAGGACCCGTGCTTAGAAGAAAAATGTTGATTGAACAACTTCCCATCTAAGATAGAAAAGCTTTCAAGTGATTTCTAGCATTCTAAGTAAAAAGTTAGAACAACCCATAGTAAGTCCAACTAATGTAACCATCACTTTCTTTAAAATATCATATAGCAACATTGTGATAACCCTTGACATAGATCAATCAAATAGTGAAGATTGAGTCTACAAATAGTTTGTGACTTTCTCAATCATTGGAGTGAAACAAGTAGTTGTGTTAGCGAAATGCTTATTGTCACTTATATTAGTGTTAATACATAGTGAAATTCATTTTTGGATTATAAGGAGAAGAGCAAGAGTATAAATTCATCCCGAATCATTAACAAAATTTCTACCCTTTTATAGTTTATATTTGTGACTAACCATCTATACTCTTTACACACTTTCACTCACATCTAAAACAAAGTTACATCCTAAAACTAGACAAGTTCAAGACCTCTCTTGCGTGAAAATCTTGTTTCCAAAATATGCATTAAAATTTATAAAATGTTTATTCAATTAATTATAGATTTTTACTTGATTTTTACATATATTACGAAGTATGTTTTTTTTGGTGAAGAAAGAGGAGCTCAGTAGCCCCAAAATTAAGAAAGCATTATTGTTGTCACACTGTTAGCATAACGAATCAGAAGGACTTCCATTTCATCAGGTGGATGAGCCAGCACCGTGGTCCTCCAAGTATAACTTTGTCTCAAATTAACTAAGAAGTCAGCACATTGATTTCCTTCGCGCAGGACACGAAGGAGCTTACAGTCATGAAACCAATCCATCAAACTTTTGTAATCCATAATCAATGTTAAAATATAAATTGGCTAAAATATATTATGTTATTGAATCTTTAAATCACACGAAACGGTTTTGTGAAATCAAAAAACCTAAAAAGATAACCAAAAGGCAAAAAAGGGGAAAGGGGATGAAGAAGAAAGAAGCAAACAAAAACCAATTCCTCCCAACTCCCAACCAAAAAAGCCCTATCCCCGTCCCCGCGTCTCCACCTTCCTCGTGCCACTGGTCCTACGCGCCATCAAAATTCCCAAGATCTACATTTTTAATTATCTATCTACATACATGTAATCAATGTAGAGTGACTTCATGATTCTCACGTCCCCTGCATCCAATTCCTCCTCCTCATTTGCCCAATTCTTGAATCCAACTCCAGTCCAGCTATTTCTTTCCTCTAATTTCTTGAAAGCCCACTCCCCTTATCACTTCAAGACTCGGTCATCAACTCATCATCTTCAAACAATATTAAAATCGGTTTCTTTATTGCAAAGAAATATTTTTTTTTTTTTAATTGAGTACCCATTTTCAAGGAACCCATGACAGAGGTCCTCCACTCTTCATCTCCTTCTTCGCCTTCTGCGTCTCCTCCCACAATTTCCACACCAACCCACACCCACACTGGGTCATTGTTTCAGGCGGGGGGTTTTGGGGAGGAAGAGGGAGAAGAGAAGGGCGGAGTTAAGGAGAGGGATCAGCTGTCTTTGTTGGCCCTTTTAGTGACTTTGTTCAGGAAGAGTTTCTGGATGGCTTGCAAAACGGATAGGGCGGAGCTTTGCGGTCCTGTTGGCGGTGACGGTGGTGGAGGAATGGAGATTGGATGGCCTACTAATGTGCGCCATGTTGCACATGTTACCTTTGATAGGTTCAATGGATTCCTGGGTTTGCCTGTGGAGTTTGAGCCTGATGTCCCCAGAAGAGCCCCTAGTGCAAGGTGCATTGTCTTATTTCTGTACCATTTTTGGGTTTTTGGTGGCTTGTGATTTAATGTTTCTTGGTACCTGTAATTCTTGAATTGGCTTGACACTTTGACTCTGGGAATTGGATCTTTATTTCATTTTCTTCATTAATTAATTTCTAATTTCAGTTTAATTGTCTTGAAGTTCTTGTCTTTTTATGGCCAAATGAGGCTTTAGCATTGTGAATGGTTGACAAATGAGTTTGTTAGGGTGGATGAAGAAAGCTAATCTCAATGCTAGGATTGCTCTAAATTTGGTTGGATCTCCGGGGTCAAATGCTGTTGAATTTTGAATAACTGAATTAAAGCTTTATATATTGTTGGATTCTGCAGTTCAGTTTTGGAACTTAGATTTATGTTGAGAAAATACCTGATGTGAATGGGAATCTGCATTCAAAGTCAAGATTTTGACCTTAAAAGTGATTGTGGATGAAACTAAATTTATTAATTCTGATTCATCATTCATGCTTTCCTTGATGCTCAAATTTTTGTGTAACTTGGAATTCATTTTTTTAATATATATTTTTCATTTACTTGCTCCTATTTATGTCTAAACATGGCTTACGTTTGCTTGTCTGTTCATGGTGTGCAGAACTCGTGCTTGTAAATTTATTCTTTTTTGTACCACAGATTCTAATTTGACCTCCCTTGGGAAAATAACTTTTTCTATTATAATTGGAAATGTCATGAGAAGATTATTGGATCTTAGCAGTCAGGTTTTTGGAATGAATCAGTATATTGATCTAATGTTTGAATTTTGTTGGACCTCTCCTAAATCCTTATTACCTTTTGTTATCTTCTGGCTCTATGACCGAAATCTGTTTCTTCTTATTTTTCATGTGCCATATTTGACTTTTCTAGAATTTTCATTTTTTCTTGCCTAATTATAGAATTCATTGGGATCATATTATCACTATTAGCTTGAAGTTGTGCTTACCAAGTACTGTTTTATAGGTTTTAAGTTTTTTTGTTTGTTTGTTTTTTTTTTTTTTCTTCAAAATTTCAATTTCTCCTTTCTTAAAGTACATAAAGTAATTGTTTCCTAATTAAATAGTTTATCATCTTTCTCATGTCCAGTTTTGGCTATAGTAAAGTCTGTTAGACAACTCAGCATAGTCTCAAATAGGCAGCCCAGAGTGTCTTCAAATGTCCAATCACCAACATGAATCGTTAAGTTTAGAATATTAACCTATCAAGACTTGAGAAAGTTGAAATGAGACTCCAACCTTTTAGAAGGTAAGAAAGTAAGGACTTTTTTGTCACTAGGGATACAAAAACATGGACCTACTATTATGGGTTTTTGTTGTTTAAAGTTGGGAGGCACTGCACAAGGCTCAAACATCATCCAGGTCTATGGAGTATGGAAGGAAGTTGTCACAACCTTATCTCAATTTAGAAAGCTTGTTTGTGAAACTTGAACCATGAACTAAGGTTAATATATGAGCATGTTATACTTGAACCATGAACTAAGGTTCATGTTTATCATTGACAATGTGGTCTTTTTTAGTTCTAATATCCATGAGTAACCGTTGCATTTCTGTGTATGTGTTAGGAATATATCGCTTGCTCTAATCATTAATCAGTATTTTACATTCTCTGACACTGCAGAGATTTTGCAGCGTCCTTGACTTTTTAATTCCATGTGCAGTGCCACTGTATTTGGAGTGTCAACAGAATCAATGCAATTGTCATTTGATTCCAGAGGGAACAGTGTTCCAACTATTCTTCTACTGATGCAAAGGCGTCTTTATGCTCAAGGGGGCCTGCAGGTACACTCGCTGTTTTTCTTGCCATGCTTACACTCACTGTAGAGTAGCAGTAAACATGTTCTTGGAAGTCATGTTTGAACTCAATTTTTTTTATCGATATTTAAGAGAACTGGCCTTGTGTTGTCAATGGTATAAATTTTTCTGGCGATTTAGGCTTGGTCGAATTTGATTATGTGCACAGGCCGAAGGGATTTTCAGAATAAATGCAGAGAATAGCCAGGAGGAATATGTAAGGGAGCAATTAAACAGAGGAGTAGTTCCAGATGGCATTGACGTACACTGTCTGGCAGGCCTTATAAAGGTTTGATATTATTGCGATTTTGTTATAATTAGAGTGATATAAATATTACCCTTCACTCGAGTAGCTAATCATATAATGAATTGGCATTTGCTAAGAACAACCTTAATGCGATGTGTTTTAGGCTTGGTTCCGTGAACTTCCAAGTGGGGTGTTGGATTCTCTTTCCCAGGAACATGTAATGGAATGTCAGTCCGAGGAGGACTGTACTACACTCGTGAGACTTCTCCCCACTACTGAAGCCGCTCTGCTCGATTGGGCCATCAACTTGATGGCTGATGTTGTCCAAGAAGAACATCTTAACAAGATGAATGCCCGCAACATAGCTATGGTATTTGCTCCTAACATGACACAGGTAACTTTGAGTAAAGAACGTGTTTTTTTCTGCAGTTTAATCAGTTATTGGTGGGGTAACCTTTCGGGTTCTTTTCTTTTTTTCTGCAGATGGCAGACCCGTTGACTGCACTAATGTATGCAGTTCAGGTGATGAACTTCTTGAAAATGCTTATTGAGAAGACATTACGAGAAAGAAAAGATTCTGTTATAGAACCAGCTTCCAACATAGAGCCATACGGTGAAGATGGTCACCAGAATCCTCCTCAGTTTATCCTGTTGAAGATCCCTACATATAACTCAGCCGAATTGTCAGAGCAGGTGTTCACCGTTGAAGATCCCTACACGGAGAGCCTTTCTGATTCTAATCCAGTTGGTAACCTCACCGATGAAGAATATCTCAGTTATACAGCTTCAACTGAGGAATCTGAAGAAACCGGCTCTTCTGAATCTCTTCTCAACACTAGCATATTAGGTCAGTCTCTAGGAACTGAAAACAAATGCAAAGGAATTAGCAATTTGAGCCGTATCAATTCCATGACAGAGCGGATTGAAGCCTGGCGATGAAGAAAACGTCACTGACTGAATTGGCAAAACGTTCCTCTCTCTGTTTGGCTGTGAAAACCGTGATTTGGTAAATGTATTTTTATCTTAGCGTCGAGTGGTTTGGTTTTAACTCGGTTACAGTTTCATGTGTATATTAACAAGAGTCTAAAACTTCTGAATGTCTCCTTCGGCTTACTCAATGTGTGATGACTTTCCTCAATGAAATATGATTGCCTATTACTTTTCTTCTAATAAGCCAAAATCAGTAATTGCCAACTTTCCAATATTCTTCATGGCCACAATGAAGTGCTATATGATTGTTGATGTGAACAGAAAACTACATTTCTTGAATAGTTGTGTGGTTATAGGCTTATGCATATTGATGATTGCTGTATAGTGAGGTTTTTCTGGGCTGCAGATAAGCCAGGATGTGTCAGTTAGAGGTTTATAATCTTCTGGTAATCACATCATTATCTTCCATGATGAGATTTTGCAGATACTTTTGACCCTTTCAATTATGGGATGTTTTAGCATATGTAACCAAGCCAGTTAACAAAGGCACAAAGCAACCAATCTCTGTATTTGCAGTTGCAAACCCAGGCTGGGGATGTCTGACTTTTCATTGAGTACTTTAATTGTGCTTTGCAAAGGTTTGATTTAAGACACTGCTTTTGGGATGTGTGTGTAAAGGGATCTTTGATACTTTTATGCCAGAAGGAATATTCAGAAACGCGTTTGGTGTATTTGTTGTTGTTATTATTATTATTATTGGGATATAGCATCTTGTATTTCTATTATAAGACTAATTTGGGTTTGGTTCAGGTTATATTCATAAAACTTGACTCTTAGAAAGGTTTGGTCCCGATGACATACACACAAAAAGTGTCAATCTTTTGACCTTGTAGTTGCATTAGTAGCTCGCTTTTTTATTCTTACTTGGTAAAGCTTGACCCTAAACCCTTTTTAACATGACATATGCATAAGGGTAAGAATAGGCCAGACCCTTATTAAGAGTTTACAATTTTACCTAATTTGGCCTAGTCTATTTAGAAAAGAGGCTAGACCTAAGCGTATTTTGAGACCTATTTAATTGAACTAAAGCTATGTTTAAAACCTAAGCTTATTTCAAGACCTATTTAATTTAACTAAATAAGTGCTATGTTTAAAACCTAATCTATAGGTCTATAGGCTTGGCGCGCGCACACACATGTTTACTAGATTACGATATATTTCACGTTTACTTAATATGTTTTTATATTTACAAAATGAAATCAATAATATGTATCAAACCCTAAAATTTAAACCTCTCATTTTCAATTTTCATACTTTCTTGTTTCTCCCTGTTTTCCTTCTAGCAGAGTAGTGAACTCATTCTTACATAGTGCATAGTAACATAGTGGAGGCAATGGAGTGAAACATTTGATTAATAACAGTTGATTTTGAGTTCTTATTTTAGTTTTTAATGTTTTTTTTTTTTAAAATTCAATTGAGCTTGGGATGCTCGTTGTCATACCTGCACACTTGTTGATTTATACATAAAGAAAATGTCAATCTTTGCAGACTTTTAAATTAATAGTCAGCTTACCAACTATCCGAAATACACCGAAAAAATTATGATAAGTCAAATGCTTGACTCTTATTTGAGAAGTCCTAAACTCTTTAACATGACATACACATACATGGACAGCTCAGTTGATTATAGGAGTGGAGTTTGAAAATAATGACCCGTGATCGAGTCTCACCAGCGACAGTGTAAGGGTAACATGTATTTTATACTATGTCGAACTCGACAGGACGTGGGGCTCTTCGGATTGAAAATTCAATTTTTTGGTAACAATCTTTTCATTACAATTACATTAGTAGGCACTTACATGCCCCAAGTTTATGGGGCCGAAGAGTATCATAGGTTAAATTGACAGGTTTTAATGAGAGTGGGGAAGAGAAGGTAAAACAAGTCTTAACAGTTTCACGTGTATAACAGAGACCACCAATTGACAGAAAGCTTAATAGCCACCCATGCTGAGAGACACTGCAATAACACACCACCCTTCTTCTTCTTCTTCTTCCTCTCTCTCTCTCTCTCTCTCTCTCTCTTCACTTTATCAGTATTCCCGTGTATATCTCTCCAGACTCCCACCCACCTCCCAACTATACTCTCAACCTCCAACACCTTACCTACTGGTGTTGTTGTTGGTTCTTAGCTCAACAGTAAAGCAAAAACAAAAAGGCAACAATGGCAGCAGCCTGTGGAAGCCTCCAACACTTGTTTGACAACCCATTGCCCGAAAATCCCACCCTTCTTGAATCCCTATCATCTTCTTTCAAACAGATTCAATCCATGAACCCCCTTCAAGATTCCTCCTTAACCGAGATTTTTGGAGAGCTACATTTCAAAGAACATCATTCCTCCTTCTCCCCTCTCCAATCCCTGTCGTCTTCTGCTCCATCTTCTTCTTTGTTCTCTGTAGATACGCATACACAGAATCCCCAGTTCGATAAGGAGAGTGACTCCACGCGTTATTATCAGCAGTACAAACATGGGGGTCATCATGAGTTCTCTTCCAAGAACTCGGATAGTTTATCATTGTGCACTGAAGGGCTTGGATTCGAGAGCTCTGGTGATATTGAGGACTTGAACGATGTGGACCATGATTTGCTAGTAAGCAAAGAAAGGCCAAGTTCCTCGAGGCATTCGCATCCAGGTGAAGTAAAAAGATCAAGACTGAGTAAAGGGCCATTCCCTCCTCCCATCTCGAGTATTGGCAGGAGTGGAAAACCCTGGGTTTGCTTCAGATCATATCGAGAAGATGGGAGGTTTATTCTCAAGGAGATAAGAATTCCCACTCAAGAGTTCTTGCGTGCATGTAGAGAAGATGGCCGTTTAAAGCTGCAACTTATTCAATCAGATGATGAAATTCCCGAGGATGAAGAAGAAGAAGAAGAAGAAGATGACCACAATGACACTGAGGATAATCAGGAAGTAAAAGATGATGATTTCCAGGCCGAGGGAAATGATAGAGAAGAAGAAAATATAAGGAATCAGCAATAAAGATGTTGGAAACAGGTAATAAAAAGCTTCCAGGCCGGGTGTTTTTTACTTTTATTCTGTAATTCCTGCTAGTTCTGCAGTTCTTCTCGATCGATTCACTCAACTTCAAGAAATGTTATGATTTTCCCTTGCATGCTTCTGTAGTAGCTGCAGTTTCGTTTCAAGTCATGATTTAGTCATCATCTCCAGATGGATTGCATATTTGCATGATATTACAATTCAGTACCTGCAGAAACAGTTAAAACTCATTATCACTAATCAAGCAAGCGAAATGGCTCTTCTGAAAGGGAAAGGGGCAAAGTGGTCTGCAATTGTTTTCTCCTATTCTCTAGGGAGGGTACAAATACTGGGAACAATAGACACATTATAATATTGCACTTGCCAAATGGCTACATTTTTTGACTTTGGTTTCTGATAAGAAAAAAACAATTGTCTCTAGGGAAGGCAAGCAGCCAAGAGAGTGGGAGAATAAGGAGGCATAAAGAGAACAAAGATCACATTTTTGTACAAGGTAGTGAAGTGAAATGATGAAAAAACCAAACAGGTGACTAGGTAAGATATCCCTTTTACAAGATAACATTTTTGTACAAGATAAGATCGACCTAGTATGAAGTAACAAGAAGCAGAGATCATAGACCCGCAGAAAAATATCCCTTTTGTTTTATTCAAGCTGAAAGAGAACCATGGTGATGATTTAGTTGTGAATATGACCCAAAAAGCACACAGATAACTCAAGATTTTTCCACCACATCTACTATAGTATCAAATTCATAAGATGAAGATTGAATAAATTAAATGAGAGAAAAAAAGGAACAAACTTTACAAATTGCATAAAAGATGCAGCTTTAGGTGGTACCACATTACCACCGCCATCTCGAGATCAAACAAAACACACCACAGAATGAGCAAGAACATACCATCATGCCGAAAGAAAAATGAGACCGGACCAAAAGTAGCAGCATAGGAGGCTGCATTATTTTAGTGCCAATGGACCAGATAAATTTGAAAGGACAGATTCTTAGAGTTGTAACTTGTAAGAGAAATCACATATTTGTGTGGCAATGCTCATCTTATCAACACGGAAATATATATATGCATCCATAAGGACCCCACAAGAAATATCTCGAATGCTAACACTGAAAGTTAAGAAATTATCATCATTCACAACCTTAATGTTCCCAAGCAAGCATCCACATCATTCACAACCTTAATAGTTTTCTGCAACGATTTGAGTTTCACAAAATGAAAATAAAGATTTTTTTTTTTTTACAATTATGATATCATCCTGTAAAAAGCTGCAGAGATCTGGAGAAGGGAAATGTGGACATGTTTTGCAACAATGGCCATGAAATATAAAAAGTGGGAAAATGGAATCTATATATTCTGCACAATTGCTGGAGGATGATAAGGGGAATTTTGGGGTTATGGACCACTATGTACAGCACCACTAAGGCACTAATAAACCAAAATATGAAATATGCATTACACCTATCAGAGTCATACCACATTATAGCCCAAGGTTCAAATGTAAGATGCTCTACTTGGGATTCATATTATAATCTAAAATGCTCCTAAAGTGATTGACATGTAAACAGTCATAAGATTGGACCAATGTCACTCAACTAGGCTATAGCCAAACCAATCAATTAGTTAGTTTAACTCATGACCTTATAAACCATAATCATGAAACATTATCTTTCTTGTTTCCATGGTGTCAGAATTACAACATGCTCTAGTCCTGCCATCGTTGAGTCATCGTGATTTAGTGTGGGGCCCGGGTGAGGGGTTTCACACCCAAGAAGTATAATTATATTTATATAGGAATCATGGGTCCTTGCAAACCAATAATCAACTACCTTCCAATATGAATTGAAGTTCATGGAAACAAGAAAAAGAAAAGGGAAATATGAAGAGAGAGAGAAAAGAATCAAACTTTGAGATATTATTACAAATAAAAAGAGTTACTGTTACATTTTAAGTTTCACCCTTCAATCAAAAACTTACAATCGTACAGAGAGAGAGTGCATAGGGCAGAGCAAAGCGAAAGCGATGGTGAGGCTCAGGCAAGAAGGAGCTCCATGTGCGACTGATTTTCTTGATCAATGACGTCAAGGAAGATGGGGTCCACCGTCACGTGGCTGTCGACGTGGACCTTGAAGCGGTGGTCCCACCACAGCAGCTTAGCGGCGCCCTCGATATCCACAGCGGCGTCGAGCACCATCTCGCGGCGGGCGACGTCGGCCAGGAAGTTCTTGGCGTGGTGGGCCAGCTCCAGCCCGCTAAGACGACCAGGGAGGCGTATCATCTGGCAGGAGCGGGGCGGCTGGGCGCCGGCCTGGACGCGGGCGGAGCCGAGGAAGGAGCCGGCGTAGAAGATGGACATCTGGGCGGGGGAGTATTCGATGGAGGCGATGTTGGGGTTGGTGACGTGGACGGTGAGGATGACGTCGGCGTCGAGGACTGGAAAGTTGAGCTTGAAGGAGGTGAGGTCGATGGAGATGAGGTGGAAGGTTGGGTCCCGTGGCTTGGATGAAAATAGAGCCGCCGTAGCGGTGGCGGCCGCGGCGCCAACCAGGGCGGATCTCCAACTCCAGCCACCGTTCCTTTTGCTGACGCTATTGTCACTGCTGCTCATTGAACCGAACCGAGTCGAGTCGAGTCGATGGAATTGCAGTTGCGGAGGGAGGACGAGAAAATGGGAGAAATCACGCAAAATTCTTGCCACTCCGGTTCACACACAGATAGGATGTGAACCGGGCCGGGGTAGGGCGCTTGGTTTTGTATTCAACCTGTCTGGTTGTCGGGTTTAGACTTTAGAGCAGTCAAAACGCAATTGTTATACCAGGGACCATGATTCATATTATATTGTTACTCAATTGAAGATATATCACTTGATAATTACAGACACATAACATGATAATTATATACGCATATAAACAGTTAGATGCAGATACATAATTTGGGCATGATTTTGACTTCGTTCTTCTTTTATTTAATTTCCTATCCATGAGATCTAAGTGTTAAAATAATGCACCTTATTTATAAAATTTATGCACCTTAAGTATTAAAATGACGCATCTTTAGTGTTAAAATGACGCACCTTAAGCTTTCAAACAATACGCAAAATTACCATAATGTCACCAATTTTTTTTTTTTAATTTATCTTCATTCCGGGCCATTGATTTTGACAAGATCAATGACTATGATTAATCCGTATGTTTCACATGGGAGAGCTTTTGATCCCTTGTCTACACACACGTGCACACACACAAATTTGGTCATTGTTAATTGAAAATTAGACCGGATGACCAAGCTAAGTGTGACAAGGTTTTAAAAGTTGTAGAATAAAATGTGAAAAATTAATAATTGGGAACCAAATATGAAAATGGTCAAATAGTCGTGAGACCAAAAGTGGAAAAAAAAAAAAAAAACTCTTCTAAAAAACAACTTTTTAAATAAAGAAGTTAATTCATTAATCATAGACTGAAACATTTACAATAAAGATCGATGAAATGGTTAAACATTTCTTACAGTCAGACATAGAAACAAGTTCCGTAGCAATAATGCTAAAGAAAACTTGATTCACAGACTTTTTCACAAATTTGAAACTGAATTCTTTGGAAGAACTTAAAACTTCTTTAATGATTTGGTCAAACGTACCCAAGACTAACAGTGCTTGAATAGTCTTGCACACCACCTGAGTATCTATTTCCATTCTTCTATCCATTGACAATATCTCCATCGGGCTGAAATGCATATCATAGTTTAGAGGAGTCTCTTTTTCATTGTCATGTTTGTCACCCAATATGAGATTCACATTCGCCATGACTAGTTATATCGTTTCACGTTTAATGAAAAAAAACTCGCCAAGTAAGCGAGATGAAGTAACTCGTCAAAACAACTAGAAAAAAAAATACAAAAACGGCAAATAAAATTAAACCAGTAAAATAAAGGAAAATAACCGTGCGAATGCGGAGAATGAAAGAAAAAATGGTGAAGGCAGAGAAGACAATGAAGGTGGACGATGTCGACGCCGCCTTCGATTTACTTGCTTCACGGAGGCGGCGACCGTGTAGGAAGTTGAGTAGTCAAAAAACATAGACGAGAGAGAATTAGGGTTGACCTAAATCTGAGTTGGTTTAATTAAAAGTGTTTTTGTTCAATAAATTTAAAAATAAAAAACATTTTTCAACAAAATAAAACATAATTACTTCTAACTATTGATTTTGTCCTAACTTTTATTTTCAATGCATTTCCACGAACACTTGTCATAATGGTGGATATTGTGCTTTTTGAAATAAAAAAAATGGATTAACAAGATGGGGTACGGTTAGGGTGTGTGATGTGATAAGAAATTATGCTGGATATTTTGTTGCTGCAAAAATGCATCCCTTGGAAGGGGAAGTTCACGATATGATTATGGAAGCTGAAGTGTGAGTAATTGAGTATTAGAGAAGCACTCTCATGGATTAAGGAGATGGTATGACAATTTATTCATGTTGATTCCATGCAAAATAGGTCATCCATCAGCTATTTTCTTTTCGTTAAGCGTTCCACGAATTGAATGTAATAGCTCATGTATTAGTTAAGGTGGTGTTTTCCTTGTCTGAATTATATCTAACCTAACTATCCATAATATCTGCTCTTAGGATGAGACTCATCAAACCGTGATCTTTCATTTAAAATGGTAACAATGTTATTTTCAGACCGCAATAGATACGATGATTAAATCAGTCTCATTCTTATTTTCACAAATTGATACTAGTACAACAAGTAAAAGAAATTATAGTTCACTTCTTTCACTCTTTTTTTTTTTAAAAAAAAAATAAATAAATAATAATAATAATAATCATAAGAAGAGAGTTAAAAAATAAAAATAAAAAAAATACATGCAATACTACTCCAAACTGGCATAGAGCTAGAACAATTGCCAAGGTCAGCACAGGCTTATGGCAAAAGTCTATGTTGCGACCAAATATAATATTATATTTATAATAAAAGAGCTTTTGAAAAAACATTCATATTGGTTGAGAATTGAAATGAGTGATCGGGAGTTTTTTAAAAATATTTTAAATTTTAATATATTAATACCTCTCTCATTAAATTCTTTTTGAAAAACTTATAATTTTTTTTACAAATAAAATAATGTATAACAATATATCATTAAAAAAGGTTAATTGATATTTTTAAATGATGAAACCTATATTGATATTAAAAAAAAATAATTAATCTTCAATTATATTAAGTACTGTTATAATTAAGGAAAATATTTGGTGTACTCCCATTTTATACTCCCAACTTGTACTCACTCTCACATGTTTTTGATGTAGACACTTTTCTGTGGACCCACATGATGAAAATAACCAATTGCCACCTCAGGGAGTAAAAATGAGGGAGTAGAATTTGGGAGTTCGTAGTAGAACTTTATAATTAAATGTATGTTAATTAATTAAGTTACTATTATATATTCATTACTATAGATTCTTTAAGTTATTACAAAATTTATAATAATCCATTCCCTCTAATTATAAAGTATATTCAAATTTGCGTCTTTCATTCTAAGAGTGAGAATTATTCAAATTTGTGAACATAAATACCTTAAACAACTATTGTCATTAAAGTCAAAGATCTTGTTTCAAGTAACATAACTGTAATTCTTTCAAATAGATTCGAATCTCAGTAGCAACAGTGACTCGTGAGTATGATAATTACATATCCGAGCATGTTTGGGGATTACACTAGTTGTTATACTATATTATATTTTGCAGTCAAGATTTACAAATTCAGTGTATCTATCCATGCTCATATATACTTACACGAACGCACGTATTGTACTAAGAAAGCTCCCCTGTAATGGAGGAGCATATCTGCATATGTATGATCGTGCAGTGCATACCATGAGTATGGTTTCGACTCATACTATATAACTCAGGCGACACACTATTTCTTCCATCCCCATTCCAACACGTACGATAGATCGGAAGTTCAAAAATGTCGAAGGCGACAGCAGCTTTCACAGTCGTGGTCGCCGGCTTGGTGTTCGCCGCTCTTTCCGGCCACTGTCACGGCCAGTTGCAGGCCGGATTCTACAACGGAAAATGCGGTAACAATGACGTCGAGGGTATTGTTAGGGGCGTCGTGAAATCTTGGTACAAGAATGATACAACCATCACCGCCGCTCTCCTCCGCATGCAGTTCCATGACTGCTTTGTTAGAGTATGTAGGAAAACTATATATATATATATAGTTGCTTAATTAACTAGCTATCTATCCTTAACATTGGTGATTAAAATTGAAGGATGTGCTCATCTGAACTAAAATGTTAAACTGATAGTTAGACTGCACATTTATGTTTATATATTATATGTTTAACCATTAATGTATTATTTATATATATATATATGATCATAACTATGCACATTTTGATTAGGGGTGTGATGCATCGATTCTTCTGGATGGAAGTGAAAGTGAGAAAACAGCAATCCCAAATCTAAGTGTCAGGGGCTATGACCTTATTGATGCAATCAAAGAGGCTGTAGAAAAGGCTTGTACCCAAGTGGTTTCTTGCGCTGATATTATAGTCATGGCTACCAGAGATGCAGTTTCTTTGGTAACATTCTATTCTATTCTATTCATCAAACTTGTTGAATCATTAATTTTCTGGAACCTAGCTAGCTTAGCTTCATTTAATGTGCTATATAATTCTGTGTTGAATTTGTAGAGTGGAGGAACGCCATACATTGTGCAAACAGGACGTAAGGATGGAAAGGTGTCTCTTGCTTCCAATGTCGATCTCCCCAAGCCTACAATCTCAGTGGTAGATTCTGTCAAAGCCTTTGCAAAGAAGGGACTTAACACGGTAGACATGGTGTATCTTCTAGGTAAGTACATATCTGGACGTTTTATATGTACTAGAAGATAAAAGGTGTTGGACGGAACAAAGCTGAACATAGTGAAGTCCAACACATATCCAGGTTACGTTTTTCCTCTTTTGTTGCCTGAGGTGGAGTGGGTGGGGGCACGGCCCCTGCGGTACAATATATAGATAATTTAGTACATGTACCTTTTGGGATTACATCAATACTTTTGGCTGCGTAACGCGGAGTGGGAGGGGCAGGGGCCCTGCCCCTGCTACAGGGCAATTCAGTGTTGTTGAGCATATAACTATTAATGTACAATCTAACTATCAAATGGAGCACATGCTTCAATTTGGTATTAGAGCCCGACCAAAGGTCATGGGTTCACACACTTCAATTAGTGTTGCATATAAATATGATGTTTGTAGTTCTAAATGTTCTACTATCACTCTAGTGAGTGTAAACACATTATCGAACCACATAAATCTTGTAAACACATTATCGAAACACATTACTAATTATGTATGGGCATATCTTTGTTTGATACTAAATTGAAGTATGTGTTTTGGCTGCTGGACAGGTGGTCATACAGTTGGAGTTGCCCATTGCTCGGTGTTCAAAGACAGGCTTTACAATTTCGAGAACACAGGCAGACCGGACCCAAGCATGAACCTAGGACTGTTGTTTTTCTTAAGGCTCAAGTGTCCCAAAGGTTCCACCTTTGACAACACTGCAAATCTGGACCAGTTGACTCCAAAGCGCGTTGATAATTCTTTTTACCAGCAGCTGTTACTGCGCAATGGGGTGCTCCAATTTGACCAACAGATGGCGTTGGATTCCTTAACCAGGGACACCGTGAAAGCCATAGCTTGGGCGCCGTTGATGTCCTCACCGGAAGTTATGGAGAGATAAGGAAATCCTGCCGGCTGGTCAACACTTAATTAAATCAGAGAGAGATGAAAGAGCAATATTGTCTTAACGTTTCTTTTCTCTTTTCCCATTCTTGTTTATCTTCAAATATCTTCATTTCTGCTTTATATGCATTATTTGAGATTCTGTATCTGCTCTTTGAGATGTAAAATTTTCCCATTTTATCAATCATCCCTATATTGACGAGATATAAGATACAGTTTATGGTACCCATATACTACATATACATACTCAAAATGATCCCAAAGTTATCAGAACTGAATAACATGATATATATTGATGATATGCATACTCATCATGGTTACGTACACATTATTATATATCTTATTGACAGCAATTCTAAAGACTTATTGTTAACATACACAGAAAAAACTAATTAAGCCGAAGAAATCTGAAGTTTTAGTGAGAGAAATTAAATCCGCAGGTTAATTTAATGTGCAAAACCAGCCTTGATCTTGTGAATGGTGGAAACATCAGTCTTGAAAGACTTGGCAAGAACCTCGTCATCCACGCCTGTCGCAAACAACGTTGTCGGAAGCGACACAGTTCCGGCACTGGCGCTACCAAACGCGGATATGGCGGTGGCGGATTGATTGGCGTAAGCATTATACTGATAATGAACAAGCCCTTTAGGGAAAACGAACATGTCGCCGATCACAAGAGTCTGGGTGTACAGTTTATTGGTACTATCAACCAGCCCGACTTCGAGGCAGCCGTCGGCCACCAGCAATAGCTCCGCCGCGCGAGGGTGGGTGTGCGGCGGGTTAACGCTCCCGCCAGCGGGGTACTGAAGCACGGCGTACGACACGCTCTGCCCGTCCAGCGCCGCCATCTCCGCCTTGCTAACTTTGGTCACCGTGAATTTCTCGACAGTTCTGGCGAATATTCCGCGTATTCCGGTGTACGTGAAGAAACTCCCGTCTATTTCGCCGGCGCTCATGTTCGCCGGGACGATGAAATCGGATAAGATGTCGGGATCGCTCGCTGTCGCGGTCTGAGAAAGAGCAACGACGACAACTGCAACAACAAGGAACGACCACACCGCATTATTTGCCATTGAGATCGATCGATCGATATATAATTTGTTTAATTTAAGGATAGATGATGATTGAAAAGGAAAGAAAGAGTACGTATGAATTTATAAGGAAGGGAAGCTAAGAATAACGGATTTTGCAGATAAATTAAACTACCAAAAGTTTGTGCTTCGGTTGATGTTAACAAAGCAGTGCCTGCAAACAATATAATGTTGAATATATCGTTGATCATATTCTATGAATATAATGCATAATGTTGGCATAATTCCTTAGATGTTATCAGTCATGCATTAATGCATAGCTGGGAAAAAAGCAACTTATTAAAGAGGCAGATCAGAAGATTCGCCTACTCAGCTTTTTAAACTACTCATTAGATTAGCCCATCTAGTAACTATATATCTTTGAGAAATCATAAACCACCCACCGATAAACTTCAGTAACTATCAGTCCTGTCTTCTCCTATATCCGCAACTTTTACCACCCACAGATAAACTTCAAGATTCAAGTAGTAATATCTCCATCAACACAAATTTAAGTCAGACTTCTATTGATATGACGGAGATTTGCAACAATATTGATACTTCATCATGGGATGCTAGATCATGATTATGTTAATAGTTTCATTTCAAAATGTTAAATTTTAATATGTTAACAAACCAATTTAAATTTAAAACTATTTAAATTTTATTAAGATGTCATTTTTAATCTTTTTACATTTATCAATTTATCAAAAAACTAATTTTACCACACGCTTTTAAACATAACATACAACTAGCTTAGCAGCTCTTCGATTTTCAACTTCTAGCTTCTAACTTTTCAGCTTTCAGCTAGGTTTGCCAAACATAGACATAATCAACTATCAACTAACAGCTAATTTACCAAACATCTTTCTACAATCAGCTAATACTATTAACTAGTCAAACTCACTAACCAAATTAGCTAACTATATATTTACCAAACACCCCCAATATATTTTCCTATCGAATTGTATTTTAAGAATGTAATAATTCTGATATGTTGTTTAGGAAGACGATTTGGACCGGATCTAAGGAGGATTTTCGGTATGGATTTGCAAGGGATTTTATTGCTTTGAGTTCTCTTTTGCATTCTTGTTACTTATACTTTTACCTGATCCATTTTGTCCGAGCAGTTGTGTTGGCCAACCAACAACTAGTCAAAGGTTATAAAACTAACACATGCATAGAATTCTCCAACATTGTAATTATATTGCATTATAACAAATTGTTAAATTTAATTACCAATTGTTTCAAACTATTTGTTTTTTATATTTTTCATTGTTCACCAAGCAAACAAATACATACATAAAACAAGATAGCCACCTAGTAGTTCCCAATTGCAACAATTGGTTGCAGTCTGGATAACAGCATAATTCTACCCGCCATTTTTGAACCCAGACCACTACTATATTAGGCTTTAGGCTATAAAAGTCTGCCCATCCCATCCAGTTTATTCCCATATATAGCAAAACAAACCTCAAAAAACTAAAAACATTTGTTATATATATATATCAATCATGGCAATCAACTTTATATTTTTAGCCACGGTTGCAGTCTTGCTGGGCATTCTACACCTCACATCCGCCGGCGACCCTGATATCCTGACGGACTTCGTGCTGCCGCCCGGCGTCCCGTCAGCCGATCCAAATTTCTTTACATACACCGGCTTTCGATCCCTGGTATCAGCGCCGCCACCCGCCGCCTTCAAGGTGACAAAAGCCAGCATGGCGGAGTTCGCCGCCCTGAACGGGCAGAGCGTCTCTTATGCCGTCCTGCAGTACCCCGGCGGCGGGAGCGTGAACCCACTGCACACTCACCCGCGCGCGTCGGAGCTGCTCTTCCTCACCATCGGCACGCTGGAAGTGGGATTCATTGATACGACTAACAAGCTGTTCACCCAGACGCTGCAGACGGGGGACTTGTTCATTTTCCCCAAGGGGCTTGTTCATTTCCAGTACAACGCCGACGCTGAGAAAGTCGCCGTCGCTGTCTCCGCCTTCGGCAGTGCAAACGCCGGCACGGTTTCGATTCCGAACACGGTGTTTAATAGCAGCATTGATGACGCCATCTTGGCCAAGTCTTTCAAGACTGACGTTGATACCATTCAGAAACTCAAGGCTGGCCTTGCACCAAAGCGTTAACCGCTAGCTTGTCCTTAATATAATGCTATATATATCATACAAATAATATAATTATTCTCCGTTTATTTTTATATTTTCAATTGTTACAGCAAAGAATAACTGCCCTTATAAATTAGGAGGATTGTGCCATTATACACACACACACACATATATATATATATGATAAGATGAATATTTTCTCCAAAGTGAGGGGTTCCTTGTGTGCAGTGAGCACAGGTCTAACCTCTGTGGTTCATGTTCAGTTGAGTTACCATGATTTACATCCTCCCAAATGTTCTGTCGGGTCAGATCGGGGTATGTGTAGCCCTTAGGGTTGGGGTTCGGCCTTTTGGGAGAAGATGGATATTTTCTGGTTATAATTTGATTAATTAACCACTTTATAATCAAAAGTCCAGTCAAATAAAATGGAAATTAAAGAAGGTAAAAATTTGATTAATTAACCACTTTATAGTTTCAAGGCTTGAAGGCCAGGTGATCCTTATTATATTATTGGTTTGTGTTGATAAAGAAATTTAACAAATTTTATATGCTGCTAGGTGGCTAATTAAATCATGATCAGATCTGTAAGAAATTTGTCTTTTTAGTGAGAAAAGTAAACACCTAATAAATACCTAATTAAGTTATGTAAAATCATATACAGTTCACGTATATATATATATATATATATATATATATATATATATATATATATATATATAACTTTCAAGTCGATCTTGTTGTGAATTCTACTAAAAGTATGTTTGCACTCTTTCTTGTCCCTTCACTGCCGACATGATATGATGGGGACAAGCTTGGATTTGTGGATGCAATTCAAAACCGAAATTCAATTGGGTTGTAAAATAAATGATTAGGCAAAAACTTGTGAGTTTTGGATGAGATCAAAATTAAATGTAATATTTATACTGAAAAATATAGTTAAGGAATAAAATGTTTATTACTTATATAGGAAAGTGTTATACTTTTAAAGAAAAATGTGAGCATGATCAATAGTAAGGAATAAATTTTACAATTATTATATAACTTAGATATGAAAAGTGTAATTTTTTCTAGATACGGAGAACAACCTTTTATCATCCGCACTAAATTAAGGTATACCCCATAAGTTTCCCTTCTGACTTTGGGCACTACATTTAAAGAATGCAGGTTATGGCTATCCAGAATTCGTACCCTATATAAAGTTTTGGAAGTGTATTATTAGTCCCACTATGGAGATATTGTAGACGTAGTCAATTGCCCGACAGTTTTGTGGGCCTTTTGCGATTATTCCATCTGGCATGAGCATCAAAGGCAAATTATGTTGTGCAATTGTGTCTATCTTACAAGATGGACACAGTTCTAAAACTGTTCATAATTATGAATATATAGTTCAAAAATTATGAATATATAGTTTTATAATTATGAACATAGATTTCTGTAATTGTGAATATAAAATTCAATAGTTATGAATATGAAATTCAAAAATTATGAATATATAGCTTTATAATTATGAATATATAGTTCAGTAATTATGAACATAAAATCGTGTCCACCTTGCAAGGTAGACACGATTCCAGCATAACGATTGGGCATCAAATATACGGAGTATAAATTAAACCTGTCATTTGCTACAATCGTTATGCGGTGGAACCGTGTCCACCTTGCAAGGTGGACACGGTTCTATTTCATAATTATTAAACTATATGTTCACAATTATAAAGCTATATATTGATAATTTTTGAATTTCATATTCACAATTATTAAATCTCTATATTCATAATTACATAACTATATGTTCATAATTTTTGAACTATATATTCACAATTATGAACAGTTTTGGAACCGTGTCCACCTCCACAGCATAATTTGCCCATTTGCTATACATGGGCTGATGTGGCCTAGGATCTGCCCAGGAAAAAAAAAAAAAAAAAAAAAAAAAAAAGAAGACTGCAATTAATTCCTAATTCTGACTCACAATCTTGATAGCAAAAATTCGATCAAGAATTTGGGTGCATTGACTTACTAGTAGACTAGCTAGTTACAAATTTCTTTGGCAGGGATTTGGACACCTGCCAATAAGATGATGATTCTTTGTTTCTAATTTGCCAGGGTATCTGGTTTTTGTATATGGTTTTGGAGGAATTGTGGAGTTCATGATAATTGTTTCCAGTGACCAAGACATTATGAAGAAGGTGAGTGAAATGTGGTATATATCCTGAATAATTTTAAGAGAAGAATGAATTATGATATCCTAATATGATGAGATACGCCCTAGACTCATTTTTGTTAAGGTGAATGTAGATTAAAGTACTAAATAACACATGCGGATCGTGTCACTGCAGAGGGCTTGCTAAAGAATAACCGCATTAGCATGAAGAATGTATATGTTGGTTGATATTGTCAACATTGCTAAATTGATCTAAATTAATATAATTTTTGAGTAATTTCGTTTTCTCATATATTACAAAAAAAAAATAAAAAAATTCCAATTTGATAATAAGCATAAGTGCCCCATGTTGAGAAAAAAAAGTCAAAATTTTGATTGCGTGCACAGATATTGTTGGTTGGATTTGTCAAAGCATTTGTGTTTGTAGATATGGAATATAAATATATAATGATACTTCCAACTACTTTTTCCTCCCGAGTTAATATTTCGAAATATTTGAATTTTGACATTTGGTAATGTAATGATTCAGTAGGTAGTATTTGGGAGAAGATCAGATATCAAAATTCGAACATCGATAACGGTAATACGTGTGGAAATTATGTTTAAAGTGGACAGATCTTTTGTGCGTATCAGCATTTGATCTTGACCCTGTATGCTGAGTCATTGAGTCATCATGATTTACATTATTAATGCTCTATCGAGTCGAGGTGTGGAGAACTCTTTAGAATTAGAGATTCAATCTTTTGAGAGAAGAAATAATAACCCCAACACAATGATGGATATGATCATTAGTGGATGCATGTATGTTAGAAGCTGCATGTGCTGGTGAGGCATAGGCATATATAAATGAGTTATTTGGCCGTTATTTTAAACAAATACGGAGTAATAATATGTGTCTTTCAACGGTACAGTACGTCCCAGTACACTTTGAAAACAAATTAAATAAATTGAAATGTCTTAATTGAAGCTAGCTGGCAACCTTAATTGGATAATGTATAGTATGTACAATGTTATGTTTCGATTTCGATCTACACATGCTAAAAATACAATAAAATAAATATGTAATTGCAATGTAAATGATCTGATTTCTTGAACTAAAATAGTGAAGTTTGGCTAAAGTGACATGAAATAACTTTTTCAATTGGGAGGTTATGTATTCGAGTTTTGATAAGGACAATAATATTGACTTTTTGTGATTCAGTAAATTGAGAAAATAATTATGAACAGATACTCAAAAAGAATATCAGAGTGAGACAAAATAAATATATTACTCCGTATATAATATTCCCAATCATTCGAATAGCATCTAATAACCTTTGTTGAAGGGCTTTATTTTATGCTAATTGTATTTTTCGAATAGCATCTAATAACCTTTGTTGAAAGGCTTTATTTTATGTTAATTGTATTTTTAAAAATGAGTTAATTCTATTTTTGGTCTTAAACTTATAAATGTTATTCTACTTTTAGTCTTTTTTTTTTTTTTTTTTTTTAAGAACATTTTCAGTTGGTCCTAATATTATTGTGAGATGATAATTTTTTTTGTTTCCTATCAACAAATATGTTTAATGACATTAAATACGAGAGCATTTTGATTTTTTTTTTTATAATACAAAGTGGGTTCACCCGCTATATTTATTTATTAATTTTTATGAAAAAATCTCTAATTCACGAGTTAGAGTACTCTATGTCGTCTCTATCTTCTTCAGGTACAATTTGCGCCTCCACAGAACAATGGTAGATGATAGAACACAACTTGAAGAAATCCAAGATGATGAAATGCTTTCATATATAAATATAGTGGTTCAGCCCATTTTGTATTAAAAAGATCAAAATACCCTCGTATTTAATGTCATTTAAACATATTTGTTGACAGAGAACCAAAATAGTGATGCTACAATAATCACTACAAGAATTAAGACATTTAGTGCCAAATTTTTTGTGACACTTCGTAATTTAGCCACAAATAATACCCTTTTTATGACTAAAAAATAGTTCAACACTATTGCTTATGATAAGTGTGACAACTATTTTTTTGGTCACAAATAGTATGGTAATTGTGACAACTAAGTATTTGTTACAAATAAGTTGTCACTATTACTAGAATGATAGTGTCGTAATCTATGTTGTCACTAAATGTATGTGTGTTTTGGCGGCATTATAATTATAGTGGGAACATAAGTAATTGTGACAAAATATAGTGTGACACACAAATTTTAGTACTTTTTGTGACAAATAGTTGTTGGTCACTCTGTTTTATATATCTGTGTCAACTCTTTTTTGTCAATAAAAATGCAATTAGAAATGAGATACGATTGTGAGAAATATTTAATTTGTGACGCTCTATTATTTCTTAACAAAAATTACTAAATTGTAACAATAATTGTGTTGAATTCAAGTTTTGTCACTAATGTTATAACAATTGTAACGAGTAATTATTTGTTACAATGACTTTATCACTATAATTAAATAGAATAATATTTGTGTGAAGTTATGCTGTAATTATTGTTTGCCACTAAAATTGCATTCAAGTTGGTGCTAAAGTAATTTGTTGTGAACTAAATATTAAATATTATGATCAATTAAAATGCAACTAGTTAGTGACTCTTAAAATAAATGTAATTGTGAAAATTAAATACATTTTATTTTTTTGAGAATAATTTTCTTTTTGTGACATATAAGTTCATTATCATTTACGGAAGCTATCTAACAAACAATTCCACAAGTCAAATTGTTTCCATTCATTTTAATACAAATGTTAAAAAGCTCATACTTAAACTAATTGGCTTTAAGAAGGATATGACAACAGATAACCAAAGAACTCCAAGGTTAAGCGTGCTTGACTAACAAGATGGTTAAGCGTGCTTGACTAACAAGATGGGTGACCTACTGGGAAGTAAGCATAGTTCAATGCTAAAATCTATCAATTGGTATTAGAGTTGAGGTCATAGGTCCGAATCGATCAAAATAGGCTAGGCCTAGGTCGAGCCATGTCTAGTCCCGGGGCAGGGTGGGGGTCGACCGAGTTGGCCTCGAGTTCAGCCTAATTTATTGAAAAATAAGTACATTTATTGTGACTAAAGTGTTGTCACTATATCAATTTTTTGTAATAAAATATTTGGTCTCAAATTATACATTTATTGTGACAACTATCGTTATCACTCAAATATTAGTTTTAGTGTAAGTAAATATTGTCACAAAAGTAGTGAGTAATTGTGACAACTTTTCAAAAGTCGTCACTACTACAATAGTGACGGAGGATATAGTGACGACTTCAAAAATTGGTCACTAATTTCAATAGTGACCAAAATTGATAGTTTCGGTGACAACTTCTGTTGTCATTAAATGTAAAATTTCTTATAGTGAATACTAAGACTAACATGAATGTTTTGAAAGAAAAAAAAAAATTAAAAGTAAAATACATGACACGTATAAATATATGACCAAAACTGGAATTAACTCTTTAAAAAATCACCGACTTCATCCCGATATATATTGTGGTTCAATAATTATTAAATTAAAGTATTGGTTGAACAGTAGTTCATGGTAGCTCCAACTAACTCTCTAAGCTTCAGCTGTTGGATCTGCTCATCAGTAATTAAATCTGAACCTACTGTCTGTCAGTATGGAGATGGTGGTTGGGTGCTCTATAAATGTTTTTTCCTACAAATATATGTATGAAACCTAGTTCACAACCTTATCTTTTCAGCACTTTGAAGGACATACTATCAATTCAATGGGATTCTTTTGAGATCAAACTTCCAGACCATAAAACATTATATTATTGCTAGCTACCAAATTAATTAATTAAAACAAGAATGTTTAATAATATTAATGGGCTGAATGACTCTCAGCTCCCATGCTCCTCTTTTGTTTGGTTGCCCAGGTTTCCCTCCAACCAATAGCCAGAAGATTAATCCTCTGTCCTGACAGTCAGCACACTAAGCGGTAGGGATTGGCCAAATGACTTTTTTTTTTAATCAAATTGTTTCAAAATGGCAGTGTAATATAATAATGATGAAGAGAAGTTTTAAAATGGCATGCATGAAGAAGTCCCTTAGCTTTTTCATTGATTTCAGCTACCTACTCAATCAGCCTTGGGTCCATTCATTTACTACCAAAGTCAGGCAACTTGCCTTGCCTTTAAATTTGCCTTATCAATTTCTTCCTCTCTCACTATTCTCACACTCAGCTCCCATTTCCATCTCTATACTACTAGCTGTACTGTGCATGCTAATAGCAGCTTAGTTTTACTTTAATGGCGCATCCTCAACTTCTTATCACCTCACTTCTCATTACGCTGGCTCTCGCCGCCACCGTCAACATCTCCGCTTCCTATGTCCTCAAGGGCTCTGTCTCCTGCATGGACTGCAATGCCCACCATGATCTCTCAGGTTCTTTTATTACCATTATTTCGATATCATCTTATTAGGATCAAACGTTTATCACTATGTCAAAAGTTATAGTTCAGCTTGTAGTGGAGGCACAAGACTTGCTTTTGTAGGTCTTTGCCTAACAATCTTTTTAACACTTGGTGCTGCTGGACTTGGTCTATCACCGGCCTTAGCTCTACAATTCCCCTAATACCTAGCTAGTAGCTACTGGCCTTAATTGCTGAAACTCATGACTTAACTCTGATACCACTTATTAGATCAAGGGTTTATTATTACGCTAAACCTTATAGTTTGTAGCGAAAAAGAAACTTTATTTCTTTATATCGTCACATTTTCTGGTCCTTCAGGGCCTCAGCCCAACACAACTAATTCAGAATTATGGTACTAATATAATACGTACTAACGTTGTTTATATTATATTGCGTAGGAATCAGGGTCTCGGTGAAGTGTAGCCACGAGAAGAAACTGGGCATGGCGATTACGGAAGAAGACGGCAGCTTTGACACAAGTGTGGCCTCAAACCCACCGCCTCCCGGCGGCTGCAGTGCCAAGATCCTCGGAGCCACCCAACAGCTCTACGTTCCAAAAACCGAGGAATCTAAGATCGTGGAAGCACATGGACACTACACAACCTCGGAGGCTTTAAGGTTTTACACCAAATGCCCCAACAAAAAATGTGGATCTCCAGATTCGGGGCTGGGCTCGTCCAAGACCTTTCAAGTGCCGCCGATCCCCAGGGAATATGCTCCCACTGCTAGCTATATCTTACCTTTCTTTCCCATCATTGGCATACCCTAATTATTATGTATGCTGCCCGGCCTGTTACTTTGTTTTAATAATATGTAGTGCGGTTAAAACCGTTATTATACCTTAAACGAACTTCCATAATGATGTATTATATATGTGCGTGGCATAAATTAATTAGTTTAGTGTCATATATATATGTAACTTCTTCTTCCTATATGTGTGTACGTGCGAGTAAATGCACCGCTTTGCTATGTTCAATATAATTAAGGTATTATATTTCACGTTTTATTAATTGAAAATGCTTCTTATCCCTCTTATTATTATTTTTTTTTATTATAAGGAAGGAGATATCCTACATATACAAACTACTTGCCTCAACCGAGGTTCAAATCCATCACCTCCCACCTAGGAGAGCAACCCGATACCAGTGGACTACAAGCCACTTGGTTTCTTATCCCTCTTATTAATAGTACTAGTATTTTCTATGCGAAAAATAGATGTCCAGTACTCTATATTAAAATCTTAGATTTATTTAAATTTTAGATATTTAATAATAATAATAATAATAATAATAATAATAATAATAATAATAATAATAATAATAATGTAAATCATTTTGTTAAGGATCTTGTGGTTTAGTGGTACCAAGTTACTCTTTTATATAGGAGGTTGTGGGTTTGAGCCTTACTGGAGATGGTTATAACAATATGAGTATTTTTTACCAAAATATTATATAGTACAACTCTAATAGCATAATGTGTGTGTGTGTATAAAGAAAAAGTAGCAGAAAAAACGGACATAATAAATTAAAGGTATAACCTACATTCATTTTTATTAGTTTTTAGATATATTTTCTTAATTGTCTTATGTAATCATGTCTTGAGATACAACAAGTGTGCCAAGTACCTTATGGTCTATCGGCATAATTGTTACCATTCTAAACGAAATGTTACTGGTTCAAGCCTAATCAAGTTGAGACTACCCGAACGAGTTGAGCTCACTGGTTTTGTAGACAGTTTTTGGGAGTAGATTGAAAGAGAGGACATATACAAATTAAAGTATTGAAATTTCAAAACCTTACTCAAGGGTATACACCAATCATTATTGCATGGACCATAAATAAAAAGTACATTTTTAATGTACTAAAGGTACATTATTTATATACTAAAAGTACATTATTTGAGGGTACATTAGAGGAAATTACACTTTTGGTCCTGTGACTATTGTGGTCTTGTTAATTTAAGTACGTGACTTTAAAAACTAACAATTTAGTCCCGTAACTATGCAATTTTTAACACATTTGGTCCTCCCGGCCAAATCACCGGTGAAGTGTTGCCGGAAAAACGTAAATATTTTTAAATTGTTTATTCTTGAGGGCAAAACAGTAAATTTAAGCAAGTAACTTTGGCATCATATTGTTCCGAAAAGAAACCCAGTGCAACCTTCATAGTATCGCCGACCTTTCCAAGCTTGCAAATGCTTTAACATAACGAAACTAATAATCAATTAAAATTGGTTTAAATGCATGCAGGACTTCTAAATTTTCTCAAAATCAATTAAATAAATTGGTTACAATTCCATGAGCTACTGAGTTCAACATCCCCTGTTTCCAAGCTTCTCGGCACGGCAATGAATTATATCCAAATATTGGTTCTCCCCGAATCTAAACAATGCATGGGGGGCTAGGGGGCAGCATTGCTTGAAACCATGATAAACCCCTAAATCTAACCACTATTTCGGAAAAAGCCGACAGAAATGGAAAATCCGGTGCTGTTCTTCGTGTACAGAGATCCAAATTCCTAGGAGAAAGAAATGCCGTCCGCCGCCAACGGAAGACTGCATAGGCCATTATTTTAGGCTGTGAAATTGACAACAGAATCGTAAGAGAACAGCGTACAACACTATTGCCTTACGCCCTTGTTTGCCTATTCAATGGTATGATCTGCGGCCGGTGTGCGGTGGCGATGGGTGAGTCCGGCGGACTCCGGGGGACTGACTAGTGAGTGGCGAGGACTGAGTTGTTGACTTCAGCTTAGGTTAGTCGCATGGGCGATGAATTAACTTAAATTATTGACCATTTTGCCCCTATAAATAAACAATTTAAAATCATTTACGTTTTTCCAGCAATATTTCACCGGCGATTTGGCCGGGAGGATCAAATGTGTCAAAAATTACATAGTTACGGGACTATATTGTTAGTTTTTAAAGTCACGTACTGAAATTAACAAGACATCAATAGTCGCAGGACCAAAAGTGTAATTTCCTCGGGTACATTATTTTAGTACTAAAAGTACATTATTTTATATATACTATCAAATAATGTACCTTTAGTATATTAAAAATGTACCCTATATTCATGGTCCACTCAAGTTGTATGGATCATGGTCCATACAATAATTTGCTGGTATTCACTGGATAAACTCTTTTCCTTGTAATACCCGACAAATCATACATGAGAAATAATCTGGCATAGACAAAAATCTCTACTTTCTTTGCCCTGGCCAGTGGGTAAAGTATGCCGTTTTAATTGGGATGACTTTGGCGTGATAAACATATGAATAATAAATGTTGTGTCTGGTAGGTTGGAGCAGCTAGCAGCTTAGCTGGGATAAATGGATAATGTGTAGTGCAATCAAGATATAGATCGACAATGCATTTAGTAATTACTTCAATGGTTGCAATTGATAGATGCAACTTTTTCGAATGTACATCTTGTACACTACACCACAAATTCATGACATTCTTCAATGCAATCACATCCACTTTATACTACAAAATAAAGGGATCTGATCTCTATGCCAAAACATCTCATCCAAACTCATATAAGGGAAACGTAGATACATAGTAACCATTCCATTTTTTGGTGGATAGAAATCTTCTTGGATTGTTTTATGTTAAAGAATTCTCAAAATTAATCAATTTCACATGGATCTTATTATCAATGGATCAATTTCATCTTGTAATGTATGTTACTTTATGTCTTTATGGGTACACATCACTGTGGTTCGCTTTCGGTTCCGAATCTAAAAAATTATTTTTAGTTTTAGTTTCATTTTAAAATTTAAATATTTGATATAACAATTTTTTAAAATTGCAAAATGGAAACAAAATACTTTTAAATATTTTAATTTGTTAAATAAATTATTGTTGTTATTATTATCATTATTGTTTTCAATAAATTATTATTATTATTATTATTATTATTATTATTATTATTATTCATCCAAGTTAGCAAAATATATTGAATGTGAGATTCTAATCACTTTTAACCTGAAATTACTTGTAATAACATGTCAAATTGGGTTGATTTCATATTTTTTTTTAATAAGTTCATGTATTTAATTAGAAAATTTTCTAGTTTGAAAACTTAATTACACTTTCATGAACAGTTCAAAGAGCCATGTTTGGTAAATGGATGTTAGCTGAAACATGTTAGCTGTTAGTTGTTATCTGTTAGCTGATTGGGTTAATTAGAGAATATAATTAGTTGATAACATTAGCTGATTCTAGAAAGGTGTTTGGTAAATTAGTTGTTTGGTATAATTTCTTTTCTCAAAAAGTTAATTGAAAAAGTTGCTTTGAGCGACTTTTTAAATTTTAGCATTTTGGAGTTACAAAAAGCTAATTAACTAAATACTTATATTAATTTTTTAACCAAATCAAACAACTAATAGTGATCAAATAAGTTAAAATTAACCTATAGACTAATTATTTTACCATGGCCAAAGACTTATTTGGTTATTTATCCCAAATAAATATGATAGTTGCAATTGGAATAAAAGCATATAAATATTTTCGGCATTTGGCACTTCAGCACTTGGGCTGTAGTGGGCATTCTTCATTTCTTTTAAAACTTTATGCAGACCAACAGATCAGACACGCCATGCTGGTCGCCTGCTCCTGGCCCAACTTTTGGATTTTATATTCATGTACCTTGTACGGACATATACTCTATGTGTAAGTTATGTCATGAAACACGAAATATCTGATTTGTTCCCTCAATTATTTAAGATTTCACTATTTTAATTTTTGATTTTTAAACTTGTTTAATTTTATCTCTAATTATGTAATTGTTAATTAAAATGATCTTAATCATGATTATTTTAGATAAAAATTATATAATTTAACATAAAATTGAATAAATTTGAAAGTTAGAAACCAAAATGTTGAAATCATACTTGAGAAATTAAATTGGATATTAACTCTGTTATGAAATATGCATGTTGTGCGGGCATGTGACACACTTTTATAACTGGTCATGGATGTAATGCTTTATCATTTTACATAATGAATTTTTACAAAATACTATGAAAATTTATAATATGAATTTGAAATTATATAACGTCTTACATGCATATATTTGAAACTTAATAAGTTAGTATTCACGAGTATAGTTTTGTATTGAATTGTGTTGCTTGACTACATGATTTTTGGATTGACTTTCAATTAAGTGAATGAAGTCCCGCGAATAAATTAAGAAGAGGCTACTGCTCCAGTGCAAATAAATCCAATAAGATTTTATTTTCATTTATTGCTGACTGGTTCAAAAGATATCACGGATGACGTCAACAACACAAAGAGTGAGTCATCAGGAATATAATGTAGCGCTGTTTAGGCAAACAAAACCGTGTGGAAATTTCCAAGCACCATCGATCGATCCATCACTCTCTCCTATCACTTCAATTCTTCTCCATTTTTTCTCCATTCACTCGTCTTCTCCCTCTCTATATATACTAACAAACATTTTGGAAATTTATATATGTTGATTGTATCCCAAGAAAACACATCCACCTGGCCTGAGAGAGAGAGAGAGGGAGAGAGAGACAACAATTAACGTTAAACGATCGAATTGAATACATACATATATACCTACGACGACGACGACGAGTAAGAAATGGGTGCAGAAATCTCACCGGGTTTCCGCTTCTACCCCACCGAAGAAGAGCTGGTTTCTTTCTACCTCCACACCAAACTGGAAGGCAACCGCCGTGACATCGACCGCGTCATCCCCGCTCTCAACATTTACGATCTCGAGCCCTGGCATCTTCCCAGTAAGCAAAACCAGACATTCATTCATTCATTCTATGTATGTATATATACATAATACATGGATTTTAATTTGTTAATATTGTTTTTTTTCAGGGCTTTCGGGGGAGCTGTGCGCCGGCGACATGGAGCAGTGGTTCTTCTTCGTGCCGAGACAAGAACGGGAGGCGCGCGGCGGGAGGCCTTGCCGGACCACCGCCACCGGCTACTGGAAGGCCACGGGGTCGCCCAGCTACGTCTACTCGTCGGGGAACAAGGTGATCGGAGTTAAGAAGAGCATGGTTTTCTACAATGGGAAGGCGCCCTGTGGAAGAAAGACGAAATGGAAGATGAATGAATATAGAGCCATCGAAGAAGTAGTAATGCCCACCTCCACTGTTCCAAAGGTACCTACAACATCTATTGATCAAACATTGAAAATTATTAAATTTTCGATAACCTGAAAGTAATCTTAAAAGTCGAAAGTAAAAAGTGATCGGAAATAGCAAAGGTTTTTCAAAATACCAAAAGTAGTGGAAACAAAGCTTTCAACTTGATTTAAGATTACTTTCATGTGGTCGGAAATTCCATAATTTCCAGTAGTGCATTAAACTCTGCAAACTTATAATTACACCTCGTACTTACCTAATCATAAACACCGCCGTATATATATATGCAGTTAAGGCATGAAATGAGTCTTTGCCGGATATACGTGATATCTGGGAGTTTCCGAGCGTTTGATCGACGGCCAATAGGAGCACCACAATCATCATTACAGAGAAGAGAAAGTGGAGAAGGAGGTGGTGGGAGTGGTTGCTCAAACATTAATATTAATATTATTAATGATGATGACAAAACCAAAACATTAATGGAGTTGGAAACGTCAAAAAAGAGTTCTTCGCCGCCGCCGCCGCTTAGTGCATCGCTTATGGATGAGCAGTGCGATGATGGTCGCATGAAAATGGAAAGCACCACCAACCTTAACCTATGTTCCATGGTCAAAAACGTTGAACCCATTTGTCATGACTGGATGGGAAAAGCTTAATTAATTGATATACTCATCACCGGCCAGTTGATGTTCGTTGACGACGTAGAAATCATGGGACATAATTCATTAGTATACGTAGTATTATTGAAGATCTAGTTAGAGGATTTCTTGGTCTTCGTTCGATCCCTTTTAGAATTAACATGATCAAATTAAAGCAACTAGAAGCTAGCTAGCTAGATCAAAATGATGATAACAGTCCTGGAATGTTATGAAGCTAGGTTTGATTATTATTGTATTCTATTATACATTTAGACTTGTATTGTATTTTTTCGATTTGACGACTACTATAAATATAATACTTTGTTATTATCCACTAATATGTATAACAATGTTCAATCATGATGTATCTTTGATAGTTCTAACATATATTCCCAAGCGTTCAGGGCAGACCACAGTGAGTGCAAGTGCCCCCTCCCCGACTCTATCCCACCTCACCCCATATATAGCCCTAGCAATTATATATATATATATATATATATATATTACATGTTTAGATTGAGAATTAAAGCATGTGCTTCATTTCAACTAAAAGTCTAAGCTGATAGTTGGATTGCATATTTATATATGCTCAAATACGTCCCCTCACGTGTGCAGACCAATTACTTTTTTATGGACTCCAAGCAACACGTGGACCCGTTTATACTCTCTTTGTCCCATTTTATGTGTCTAGTTCGGTTAACGAGACTTGACTGAAGTTATTTTTATTTCAATTTTTCATAATATTAAGTTTAGTATTAATATACAAAATTTATGTATTTAGAAATTACACTAAATGTACTATTGAACACAAAAAAATCAAATTTAAAAATAAGTAAAAAATAATGAAAAAAATAAGCAAGAAAGAGTTGGTTTGACCGATGAATAATAAGTATGACAAATAAAATGTGATAGAGGAGTATATTATATGGTCAAGACGCCCCTCACGTGTATGCGGGCCAATTACTTTTCTATGGGCTCCAAGCAACACGTGAACCATAGTCCGCACATTTATGTTTATATATTATATGCTCAACACGCCCCCTCAAATGTGCGGGCCAATTACTTTTCTATGGGCCAATTACCTTTGACATGGGATTGGCTCTATTCCAAATTAAACATGTACTCCATCTCAACTAAAAACCTATGTTGATAGTTGGATTGCACATTTATGTTTATATATTATATATACTAAACAAAGAGTATAAGTACAAAATACCTATAAAATTATAGGAAATTAAAGATGAGTTAGTCATAGGTATTAAGTTATGCAACTTTTGAAAGGTCTTGGATTGAATTTGCCCTTTGTAAGTTGGGTGTGGTGTACTATTGGTGTTTGCTTTCTTTTACCATATTAGGGTACGAGAAGCGAGAGATTTCATCTTTTGCATGTGAGCAATCAGTATCTATGTGCATATGAACTAACTAATTGATTAGGCGAGAAGATAAGTATTATGTGAGGACCATATAAAAACAAATAAATTAAAAGAATACCCATGCATAGGTATTTGTCTTGTTTTGATTGATAAGAGGCGTACCTACCGGATTGTTTTGGCATTATTGTAACATTTTCCCGTAATAAATGCGCTATATATATGCATGTAGGGTTTTAGCTAGTTACACGCCTTCGTTGAATATTCTGCATGCTTTAATGTCATCAGAAACAAGCAAAGCAAAACATTGGTGTAATTCATGTGAAGCCACAGGTGTGAAAACCGAAGTACTACGTTTATATATAGGTTGAAAGGTGCGTGTCTGAATAAAAGGTATGGTATGAACATATATATATATATTGTCGTTTAAGAACAACGCATGTCACGTTGGGTTACTTCTTTGGTAATGTGATCGCCGCCGTCATGCGATCACCCACCAACGTTGTCAAGATCGAAACTACCAATCAAATAAGGCATCCGTCTTCTCTTCAATATGTTAAACGTTAGTCTAGTAGTATGTTCATAAAACAACTGGTTAACTCTCGGGACATATAGACTAGTGGTTGAAAGGACAAATACGAGTAGGACGAAAGTCCAGCACCATGTGACTAGGAGATTGTTGGACAATTCTTTTGATGAACTGTCACTAAACTAAAAAAGAAAGAAGAGAAGGAACTTGGAGTTGACGCCTACATAACGGATTGCTTGCTTACCAAGCCATCCTGGCTTTTCGCTCCTCTCCTTACAGTCGAGTGGCTTTGACTCATGCAGTTAGATTATTATTCTTGAAAAAAAATTATTTCAAAATAACCAAAATAATATTAGTCGTCAATTAATTTTTTTTAATCTGTATATAAAAACTTAACAAGTAAACCAATTACTCCGTATAATTTTTCTATATCAACCCATCCAAAGAATTTTAATTAATCGATAAGTTAATTGGATTAACCAAAATTTTTGAATCATAACTAAAATTCTTTAAAACAATTAACAAAATTAAAAAATTAATCGAATTTTCAACGAAATTAATTGAAACGTTGCAAAAGTGATAGATAAAGATTCAAATCAAGTTGCAGTAAAAGCTAATTAAACTGCAATAAGTGGGGTCGAAATAATTGAATAAATTAAAATGATTCTTTCACGTTTTGATAGAAACGTGCAGTGTAGCCGTGTTGGGTATTGTATTTTTTCACACAAAAAAAAAATACTTTTTTTTTTAAAACACAAAAAAAAAAAAATTAATAACTTAAATAAAAGATAATGGGTCAAACTTGTGTGACAGTGTCTCACGGATCCTTATCAGTAAGATAGATCAGGTCGAGTCCGATCAATATGCAAATGTCATACTTACATTTTCAAATGTAAAAGTATTATATTTTTCAAGTAATGTTGGCAAGTGTTTGTTACTTATAAGAAAAAATATAATACTTTTAAATCAAAATGTAAAAGTATTGCATTTTTTCATATAAGTAATAAATATTTTATTTCTAACTAGTATTATTTTTTTGTGCCTATAAGTATTACGTTTTCATCTTTACCCGACCTGATTTGTCTGCACGGTAAGACAATCTCACACAGGTTTTTGACAAAAATAATAACCAAATTTTGTTGGAAATAAGCACAAAATCCACCCTCCCATAGCAGTGCTTATATCATTGAAACATTCTCCAACTCCTCTCTTACATTTAAACTTATTATTCTTTTTAATTTTTTGTACAAATAAAATTATTTTATAAAATATTTTTTGTTTAAAAAAATATTTCATAAAAAATATATCATTAAATAACTTTATGTTTAAATAATAGCCATATTGATTTTTTTATAGCTTTTTTTTATAAACGCACAAATCCATTAAGTTACTTACAAAACAGTTCATCAAAGCCATTATTATAAGACCATCATGACATTATTGTGGATCCATCTAAATTATTGTTACAGGTTCTTCAATTTACTACTATAGATCCATCATATAATTATAGAAATAATATTTTGAGATAAAAAAAAAAATCAATATAGATTCATTTAATTAAAATATATCAACAATAAAAATTTAACAATATATATTTTATACACTGGTTTTATCTATTAAAAAAAAGGAAGAATAATTTGTAAGAACTAATGGTTAATCATACTGGTATATCTTTTTGATGAACTTGCAGTATATATAATGATATGACTGGACTACATTAGTCATGCACGTCAAAGTTATAACTCTTGAAATTCTAGGCAATAGCAGTATTAATTTCTCGGAGTTGGTTAAATTTCCACCAAGATTAGAGGAAGGTTGTCGTTATTAAAGACCACAAAGCAACAATGTTGTGGACCCACATCGCGGCCCGACAAAGTATTTAGGATGATGTAAATTACTGAAATTCAATATAATGACTTAGTAAACAGGTCAAATGATCTGTTCACTTTGAACATAATTTTCACACTGTTGTTATTGAGATTTAAACATTGATATTTTCTCTTAAATATTGTCTACTGAACCATTGATCTAATCTCGTGCTGGTACATAAACAACGTTATTTTAGTTTGTGTCAGTGTCGTCAAGACTTGGTCCTTTTTGTGTTCACATTTGACACTTCACATCGTTACTGAAGACTGAAGAGAAGTCCCAGGCCACCGTTGCCTTTCCCTTTCCGTATTCACGCGGAACGGAGCGACCCACTTTTCAAGTCCCGCATACGGAGAATCATGGTTCTCCCGATCACGATTCAATGGCGACAATCATATGATTCATTTCGGTGTCTCCTAAATATCCATCAGACTACTTCAATATTGTTCATTTTCATCAACATACTCTCCACCTTTCTTTATCTAAGCTTTTATATCATGTCATATACAACACACCCTCCCCATTACCACAGTACGAATGAGTCAATAATATTTTAATTCCACCCTAACCCTCCGATTAATGGAGTATAAACAAAATTGATCAAAATTGTCAATTTGCGAATAACTGAAATACCAAAAGTAAACACAACAATATCTAAAGAGTTAAGTCTGTTGGAGGTAACATGATATGTATACTAATAATATTATGGTATGGTTGAAAATATAGTCCATACTTGGAGGCTGAGAAACCAATCACCAAGATCGTGAGGATGACAAAACAATCCCGTTGCTACTACTTTGAGCGTCATGTTTAGGGTTAACGCATGTCATGATCGACCTTAGTTTCCAATGCTACACCATCATGTTAGCCTCGTTAGCAAATGACTCGACATGTCTCATGCTCCGATACTATAAATAGAACATGAACCCCTCAACCAACATATGAATTTGATTTCCTAGATTTAATACATATACTCCTCGATCACTATAGAGCCCACCAAATGTATTATTTATATCACTCTTTAATTGTACTAAGAAGTAAGAACTCAGCTATTAATAAATTATTAATTACTTATCTTTCTACATTGTACTCTCATCATTACACACATAGCATATGGGAATTAACGCTATTACTCCTATTAGAATCTATACTTGAAATATACCTCATGAATCAAATAAATCATTTTTTTTCAAATATTTATGTACAATGATTCTTTCTTTTTCATCTTCTTCACGCAAGAAATTGTTTTGGAAACAATTACGACAAAAATGTCAAATTAAATAATAGAGGGGGATATGGAGAAGCCATTTTGTCCCTTGTACAGAAGGCATCAAGTAGACTTAATCATATATATTGTCATCCACAAAGAATCATTCTTTACGCGGCAAAATTTGATAAGTTTAATTAATTTTGGTAATGATGAGCTGTAACTCACTAGCTAGCTACCTGATTAAATTAATACACATTTAATTAATTGATTAAAACCTGAATTCATATGAGCAGTCATTTTCCATTCATGCGGCGTGTGGACATGGACACCGGCCATAGCCCATACACCTTCATTTT